TCCGAATACGATGCCTCCGAAAAACGTGTAATAGCAAGTTTGCAATAGCATAACTTAGTCATTTATTGATGAATTTCAAAAATTGTGGTACTTCTAAAATTCCTAGGGTCTGTAGATTATTTTGATTGTAAAAAAATTAAAATAGGGTCGCCCACTTTATCCAAAACCGAAAAGAGTCGTTACACGTTTTTTTAAAGGAGTGTTTATGGGTTTTGCAAGTGGCCTAAGATGCATAAATTAGATTAATGGGTACAAATGTGCATAATTAGCCAGAATACAGTCATGGTTCCTATATATGGATCCTGGAGACAACAGAACGGTCCTCCGGAAGATTAGGAACATCCGTAAAACTGGTCGATCAACGAAACTGATCCTAGAGTTCCGCCGTTTTTTTTTCTAAAACATTACGAACTGTGATATAAGAAAAAATATGGGATCATGACGTAAACCTGGATCTTAAAGGCCAAAGGACCATCCTCCAGAAAATCCGAAACATCCATAAAAGTGGTTCATCCATGAAACTGATCCTAGAGCTCCGCAGTTGTTTCGAAAACACGCGGAACTGTAATAGGGGAAATGGATGTAATGTCAGCCTAAATGCCCCTTATTTGGGCCCATCCATAAATTCAGCAATTTACTAAATTTTCAATAGCGACCAAAAATATCCATTAGTACCGTCCAAATGAAGCGTTCATCTAGATAAAATTGATAAATAGCAGATTTTTAGGGGCCCAATCTTAGATTCATAGGCCAACATTAGAGCCATTTCCCCTATAAGAAAGAATTTCGGGTCGTGACATAAATATGGACCCGGTTGGCTATGGAACCATCCTTCGGAAGATTCGGAGCATCGGTAAAATTGGTTCATCCATGAAACTGGTTCTAGAGCTCAGCAGTTTTTTTTTATATCTTGGAACTGTGGTACAAGAAAAAAAAATTAGGGCCGTACGTAAATATGGACCTGGATGGGCATGAGACCGTCCTCTGGAAGATCAAAAACATCTGTAAAAGTGGTCAATCCATGAAAATGATCCTAGGGCTCCGCAGTTTACTTTAAAAAAATAGTAGGAACTGTGTTATAAAAATGAATTTGGGGTCGTGACATAAACATGGACCTGGATGGCCATTGGACCGTCATTCGGAAGATCCGGAACATCCGTAAAAGTGTTTCAAACAAATCGTGATTTTTTTTTCGAAAACATCACAGTTCGAAGTGTTCTCGAGCAAACCGCGAAGTTCCAGAATCAGTATCATCGATGCACCAGTTTTACGGATCTTCCGGAAGACGTTTTCATGGTCATTCGAGTTCATGTTTATGTTACGACCCCAGATTATTTCTTATATCACAGTTCCACGTGTTTTCTAAAAAACTGTGGAACTCATGGATCAGTTTTATGGATTGACAATTTTTTCGAATTTTCCAGATCTTCTAGACGACAATCCCATGGCCATGCAGGTACATGTTTATGCCATGACCCCAAATTCTTATATCACAGTTCCTAATGTTTTTGAAAAAAAACTGCGGAACTCTAGGATCAGTTTTATTGGTTGACCTCTTTTCCGGATGTTTCGGACCTACCAGAGGACGGCCCCATGGCCATCTGGGTCCATGTTTATGTCATGACCCCAAATTCTTTATTATATCACAGTTTCAAGTGCTTTTGAAAAAAACGTAGAACTCTAGGATCAGTCTCATGAATTGACCACTTTTACGGATGTTTCGGATCTTCCGGAGGACGGTCTTATGGCCATACAGGTCCATTTTTATGTCATGAACATGACATAATTCATGATCCTTTCTTATATCACAGTTCCTAATGCTTTCGAAAAAAAAGGTTCTAGGATCAGTTTCATAGATTGACCATTTTTAAGGATGTTCCAGATCTTCCGGAGGACTGTCCCATGGCCTTCTAGGTACATGTTTATCTCATGACTCCTAATTAATTTATATATGACAGTTACAAGTGTTTTCGAAAAAAAAACCGTGGAGCTCTAGGATTAGTTTGATAGATTAAACACATTTACGGAAGTTTCGGATCTTCGGAAAGACGGTTCGATGGCCTTCCGGTTCTATGTTTATGTCATGAACCTAAATTCTTTCTTATATCACAGTTCCTAATGTTTTCGAAAAAAAACCGCGGAGTTCTAGGATCAGGGGTTTATGGATTGACCACTTTTACGGATGTTCCGGATCTTTCGAAGACCGTTCCGTTGTCTCCAGGATCCATATATAGGAACCATGACTGGCTAATTATGAACATTTGTGCCCATTAATCTAATTTATGGATCTTATGCCACTTGCAAAACCCATAAACACTCCTTTAAAAAAACGTGTAACGAGTCGTTAATAACGACTCTTTTCGCTTTTGAAAAAGTAGACGACCCTATTTTCAATCTTTTTGCAATTAAAATAATCTACAGAGCCTAGGAATTCTAGAAGTACCACACTTTTTGAAATTAATATAGAAATGGCTAAGCTATGCCATTGCAAACTTAATCTAAGTCTCAAGTTTGGTCTAAATTAAGCCAATTTTGTACAAGCTACTGAATAGATTTATTCCGTTTCCCAAACAAAAAGTACTCCCACAAATCCAGACCGTAACCAAACTTGGTACAGGTGTTACGGTTTTCAATACAGATCAGTGGGCAGCAGGAGGTTATTATTCCCCATACAAACTTCACCCACTCGAATGTACATAAGGCCTAGAATAAATCATAGACGAAAAACAAATGTTTAAAGAGTTTATTTAATGAGTTTAATTAGACTTATGTTTCATAGGTAAGCCTAAGTTACTAGTATAAACCGAGAACCATCAGACATAAAGAATTGATTTCTTCAGCAAAATTGCTTTAAATTAATTAATCTACAACTTTGAGTTGATCAATCTCAAATACCCAAAAAGTTTATATTAAGAACTCATTATTTGTAAGAACCATCCTAATGTATTTTTCATCTAAAGATTGGCTGAATAAATGAAAACCCCCGAAATCCTGTAATTGACCTTAAATTATTGTTTCAGGCTCAAACAATTTAAAACTCCAAAATATGGCTTTTGAACCATTGTGCAGTTTTGTATACGAATAAAATTGCAAACTTACAAAGTTATAGTGATATTCCGGCTGAAAAGCATAGTATTTCCTGTATGAAATTATCTGGCCATACCTCTTATTCAAAAGAGTGATTGTTTGGTCATTTGGATTCTTTCCTATAATCGGCTGTTTACAACACAAATCAAATGTTGATTGATCAAATTCTACATGGGTCAAGAGTAAACATAACTTGTTTGCTTACAGAGTAAGCTCTATTAAAAAAAATAATTTCTAAAAATCAACCTAAAATTAAATCCAGGGTTGTAACCTAGTGGGAACCAAGCACTATAGAAAAAAACCAAAAATATGTTTTCTCAGAATATCATAACACACATTTTGGCAAAGTTTGTTCGACATCGCTGACATTGATCACAACCTTCGAAAAAAAAAACACTTGAGCTTTAGTTTTTAAACCAAAACAGCCTGGATTCGAACCAAAACCTTACGATCATTAAACCCATACTTTGACCGCTAGACTATCAGTACTTGAATAAGATGGAAGGCAAAAGGCGTATAAGAAATACCTATGTAGTGCAGTGAACACGGTTTTCCAGGTAGCGCTTGAAGCGGTCATGAGAAGTTTTAAGGATTACTGATGTCTCAGAAGCTCCTAGACTTCTGAGAGTTCTAGCAGTTATTTAAGTTCCAGCAAATCTCTAGGCAATTAAGTCGTGGATCATTGTCCACGATTAAAGTTGCACTCATAAACAGAGCTGTAGTAACAGGTACAGTGCCTTCCAGTTTTTGGCAACACGACCTTTTCAGCTATTTATTTCCGCAAATTTGTAATCGTGCTCATTGTACAATTTTTCATCAACCACCTCTATTCCCTAATGGATGATCTAGGCAAATCACAAGTGTGTAATAAAGTGTTCGATGCTTTTTCTAGATATCATGGAAGGTATTCGCAATTTCTCAAATAAAAATCTTCGCCGAAAACACCGATGCTCGAACAACCCCTTGATGACTGAAAAGAATAAAAACAAACTTTCTCCCGCCCCAAAGCTCTAATCCCAGCAACAAACACAACCATTGACACCCCAGCATCACATTCCCCTACCTCCCCTATCGTGTCGTAGATATACATACACTAGGAACAACATGACGGGTGCTCGTGATTTTGACATGTGACCAAAGTTTAACCAAACGACCCATCAGAGACGACGACCCTCCAGTGAATGAGTAAGTGAATGTGTGCGTATGTGTGGGTTCACAGACAGACAGACAATCGCACAATTTCCACGAAGAAATAGACATTACAAAAGTCGGACTTGGGGCCAAATCCCAAGCTGTCCACTGTGTCATTGATCACAAAGTGCTGCTGCTGATGATGATGATGGACTTTTCTATGTAGGATAATAGTTGATGGCGACAATAATATCACAGTAAATGAGTGGAAACAAAAAAGACACACACACAAAAAGAAGAAACACTTTTTCGGGTGGGTTCATGTGCGTGTGCGAAAAGGTACATTAATTTCGTGTCATTTTGCATCATTGTAGCAGCTCTTGGGAGCTCTGGAAACAGACATACACGGTGCCCCATGAAAAGAAAACGAGCGAGTGATAAAACAGGGACATTTCATCATCACAGACCTCGGACCCAGAAACAAACTACTCGTGTCACAACGACAGACGATATGATGTGCGTTATGATAAAGGGAAACAGACATCGCAGATGTGAGTTAAACGGAAGGAAACAGTTCGCAGTCGCACACGCGATGACTAATTTATTCTAATGTGCGAGCCATTCCGGTTACACTCTGCTACTGCTAGCTGCTTCTTTCCGAGATTTTCCACCAAAACAAAAAGTGACCCTAGGAAACCCATGTCGAATGAAAATGCAGAGACGACAGACGAATGAAGACAACACTGCTGCCTTGCTTTTGCTTCGTTTACTTATAGTCTTACGTTGTTGGGAACCTAGCGTGGCATTACCGATCGGTTTCACGTGCGGAAAGGTAAGTTCCAGATTGCAATAGCTGAAATCGCAACAAGCCATCGTGTGGTAGGAGTGGTTTCCAGTGGTGGTGGCGGTGGAATGGGTGCTAGCCGTCGATACAAGGAGCTTCTCCCGGCACCAGATTGGGTCGTCCGGTGGGTTGAGGATTCGTCGTGGGATGCATCTACATAAATTGATAGCAATCATAGCGGTTCGAACGGTTGTCATCACGTGCTAGTTGGGATATTTCTTATATAGCTAGTTAGGTATGACTGTGATGATGATGCGAAACGATTTCTGGCGGGAGAGTCGCCAGATGGCAGATATATAAATCATTGAAATAGTTTGAATATACGCAATTCGTACAAAAAAAATACATGTGGGTTACGAAAGGCTTTGACCACTCGAGACACTTTTTCAAGCATTGAGTTCTTCTCAAGAAAATTACTAGAGAACCTACATTGAAAACGGAACTAACTCAGAGAGTGAGCCACTTTTACTCAGTTGTATGAGATGAACTAGCCAAATGGCTAAAAATTTCAATAATACAGACAAAAAAATTACTTAATTGTGAGTCACGTTTATTCATCAGTATGGAAACATTTCTAAAAGCGTAGGTCACTCAGCGCATTAAAAAAAACCTACGCTTTTAGAAATTACTCAATACGAATGAGTAAAAGTAACTCACTCTCTGAGTAAGATTCGTTTTCAGTGTTCCCCTAAAGATGCTCTAATACGTGCTGTATCATGCGGTCGAACGTTACTATTAATCCCATGATTGGAGTAGGATCTCAGTGGAGCTTAAGCCTTTCAACACCCTATCTAGGGTGCCTTGAATGATTTTTTTTTTAATTATTTTTAAGGTTCTCTTGGTTTAGAACAATTGCGTTCGACCTCTGGTCAGGTACCCCCCTAGTCTATATCATATTGAAAAATGTTGATCGAATGCAAAAAAAAACTCAATTTTTCATTATCAACCAACAAAACCAACCGTAGAGAGAAACGGAGAAAAATTGAAAAAGTGTAGAATTGATGGACAAATCTGTAGAATCTTCGACCAATATGAGAGTCCTTATTCGTTTAGATTATAAATAGAAAATAACAGACATTCCCTAAAAAGAATTTGCGTACTGTGGAACACAATGAAATCACATCCGTGACCGACGATTGCTTCCATTATCGAGCAGAGAATTACTTAACTGCCATCCGGTGGTAGCAACTGGGTTTACGACACACAAATTATGCCATAAAATAGATCAACGGTAGATCGGGACACAGCAGCATATGACCGAGGAATCCATTTTACAACACCCGAACACCGCTGATAAATTCCAAAACAGAAGTCAATTATTATAAAAATGCCACTCATAGTTGCTATTATTAGTAGCCGTAACCTGTCTCTACTGTTGTCTGCCTGGTCAGAGGAGATACACACCTTCTGTAGGTCATAAAATACAACACCTCAAATGTGAATCGCAGCCGCCGCCCACAGGTGCATTCATTCGGCGGCGGATTACGTCCATCAGTCGCCTAATAAAGATCTTAATAAATTATGAAATAATACCCCCATTTGTTTGCACTGACTGACCTTACATTTTGTTCGCACTTGAACCACTTTCCAGTCACTGCTATATTATACTATAACTCATTACCTTTACAGGTTAGCCAATGCTAAAACTAAAACTGCTACGCAGCAACAGCAACCGAATCGTGTATCGTGTTCGTAATTTCAGACAAAACATCCATGCTGATAACGCTCTTTATTTCTCTAATATAATTTATACGTATGAACTGTGGTTGCACCTTCCAACCGTTTTTGTTTTTTTTTTTGCTGATCAGTTGACAGGCTCTAGAGAAAGACGAAACCTTCATTATATTTCATGCCGTCGTCGGTTCTGTTGGCGATAATATGAACGACACGGCGACGGCAACGAGAAACAACAAATTCCAACTAGCCGACCAGCCAAAAAGCGCGTGTCTCACAAACTAAGGCTATATTTTATTGGTATCAGACGACAGACGATCGTCACAGCTCAGCAGCAGCAGCCGCGGTTGGAATGAGAAACTAAAAAAAAATGTAAACGGAGAACTAGGTATAGAATTATCCAATGAATAAATGTGTCCGAATCGCGTGAATAATTTCATGATATACAATAAATATTAAACACCATTCAAGAAGTGCAGACTGAACGGTTTTGTGGGTAGGGGTGAACATTTTACGAAATGGTTGAAATGTGTGGCTGAACAATTTGAATCGTACGCTGGGAGTTCCATTCACATATAATTATATACTACATTTCAATTTTGTAAGATTTCCCCTGGTAGATTCTGTCCCATTCAACATCTACTTGAAATTCGTGTGAAACACTTTTTTTTATAACCGAGCATCCCTCTCAGCACGTAACCTTTGCCAGACGCATAGAGTTATCATAATCTAACTAAAGTTTAGATTTCACACACTCCCATGTCTGCTGAGCCGTTGCTTTGTTATGCAGTGTGACTGAAGTATGGTGTTTTGAATCGTTAGACTCTGGGTTGTATAAGAGTACAGGCTTTGACATTGGTCGTTTTTTATCGGTATCAATTTTTGGGATACTTTTTATCACTTTCACGGCTATAGAAACATACATAGATAAAAATATTTTGTAATTTTCAACTACTAACTGGAGCAGGTTTTTAAATATAGAATTTCACGTTTAAATATCTGAAATCCAATGAATCAAAGCTGAAATTTACATGTTCATGTAAATTGTAATCGACGTTAGATGAACTTTTCACTTCCATGTAAAAACACACATACGTGTAAAATGAAATGCAAATGAATGAATTATTAAATAATTTCATGTAAAATTTATGTTTTATTGCTGTATATGTTTCAACTAAGGCCATAAAATACGTTAATGTACCACATGTAAATTTATAAGATTGGATTGTTGATGTGTAGGTACAGTCTGATCTTCATAAGTTGATACTCTAGAAATTATCTCTGGCTCGCATCACTTTTCGAATAGACCAATCAAAGATCGATTATCTTCATCGACTCTCTCTTTCGTAAATAACTCGTCTACACAAACGTTTCCTGTCGTCTTTGTTGTATTAGATGCTACTTTGTTGCTTCTTCCATCGATCTGTGTGTCGAAAATATCCGGAAACATCTTAACACGGCCGTGGCGATCCAAAGAGAAAGGTCGACGAAGAGAATGGATCAATGAAGATAAGACCTACTGAAAAGTGACGCGAGCTGAGATCGTCGCATAGCTCAGATAAATTTTTCTTTGGGTATATTAGTCAATATTGAGCTATGGAACAGTGAAAAATCAAAACGTAATATTTGTTTTTCGTAGTCGTGAACTTCCCTTTAAAGCAAATTTTAGGATTTAAGGTAATATTGACTTTTCAAATGATTTGTTTGCAAATTCGCATGTGAGTTTATTCGCTCAAGAGGCTAATCTCAACGAATGAGATTTGAGAATAATTTTCCGAGCACTGAGCCTGAGAGCCATGGATGCTACGTCGCTACTCCAGGCCAGTCCCCGGGTATAATCATTTAAGGTGCAATTTACTTAGATGCATTTTCGGAACATTCAAACCCAGTTTCAGTAAAATGACAAAAGGAATGTAATGACCACAGCTTTTTGCAATCGTCGAAAAAAACGAGCTTTAATGCTAGAATTGGGCGATCTTGAATCGATCTTTGGAAGATCGATCTTTTTCATGACAATTAATTATATGATTTGAGTAGTAGCTATACTGCAGATCCGAGAGATGTCGCCCCTTCAGTGGTAGGAAAATAATTTTTGCAGTATGGAGAATATCAGAAAATCCACGATTTGTGACTAAACTTTCTTTCACAGAAGGAAACAAATAAACGAGTGTTTACCTTATCACCATAGTAATGTACTCGTGCAATTTTTGTGCATCTAAAACTGCCCGTAAAGACGATAATGAATAAAAACTGAAAATTTTCATGCATTTCCAAATGGTTTCCTACCATTCCCATACATTCGATAGTGACTGGCCCTCTGGCTGTGGATGATATCAAAAACAACAAAACATGATTAATTTCCGATTTTTCTGATCGATTCTTTATCCACGAAAAGATCGAAAAAATTGATCTCTTCTTTCGATCTTTTCGATCTTAAAAAAAATTGGTGTTAAATTTTTTAAGTGGATTTACATAAAAAAAAAACGATTTACTTTCACTCCAGACTGCGTGGAAAATTTAACGAACATAACATCAACATCAGCATCGCTCCCTACAATGACATCACTATTTGCGTTACAGCATCATTTGATGGTTTGCACTAGCTCTCTCCTGTGCTAATTGCTCCCAACCGTCATTTAATTGAATATTATAAAAGAAAGAATTCTTGGGGTACCAACGGAAACAAGCGTATTAAAATTAAAATAAAAAGATCGATCTACCATCGATCTAGATCGATTCTTTGGTACCGAATAATCAGTGGATCGATTATAGAGCCAAATATAAGATCGATCTTTCTCTGAAGATCACCCAATCCTATTTAATGTAGTGATGACATGATCATTAACAAGTTAATATTTTTCCGCTCTCATACGCATCACGCGTGATATTGGAGCAAAATATCATGCTTGGTATTGATTTTACAAGCTCCTTTGATATTGCACGACTATTCACAACGTGTAACGTTGAAGCTGAGAGTTGAATCGACGCAAAAATGATTCCGTTGGATCTCGTTTTCTTAGAAAGAGAAAGCATAATAATGCTATCTCGACAGTGAGCATTCATAAGGGCGAATACGCAATGATCGATTCTCTTCATCGATTTTCTCTTTGCATTGCTACAGCTAGGCGAAACAATTTTCTAGAATTTGTTCAATGCAGAGTAGTAACAGGTTGTATTGGCTATCAAAAGCAATAGCAAACGCATCGAGAAACGTTAAATCTAGCGAGTTATTAACAAAAGAGAAAATCGACGAAGAGAATCGATCATCGCGTATAGGCCCTTATGCATGCTCACTGTCGATCTCTTTTTATATTCACCGATGGCAGACACGAAGCGACTGCTGCTAGCCGGTATGGTATGGAAGTTTTGGTTGCGTTCGGGTGTAAAGCAAAAATCATGAAACTCAATCTCACCACAGTTTGGTGATATTTCTGGCTTGATATTTCGAGCTGCAAGATCACACAGTTGTGTGTGCTTGT